CCGCGCAGGGCTGTTAGGCCGGAGAAGGGGAGCAGCAGCCGTGCCTCCCTTGGCTGGCTTCCGAGAGGGGGGCAAGAGGAGGGAGGGGGCCCTTTCTTCCCACCGCTGCGTGAGCTGAGGGGGAAGGTGGGCTGTCAGAAGGGGATGACGGCGCTGCTCGCCTCTCTTCCTCTGTCAGCGGGTGGGTTAAAGTCCTCCTGTGGTATACGGCTTAACTGTTTTCTCCCTTTGTAAAATGTTAGTCCTGTTTAAGTTGCTTTGTACTTATCCTCCTCAGCCGTTTTGCAGGTTAGGTTGAGGAGATACAGTGGGCCAATCTACATCATCCCTCTCTTCCACTGAGTAACAGTATCATTTCCTCTCACCCCGATTAGTTTATTTTTCACTCGTCGATGAAATAATTATGAATAAAGGTATTAGTGAATCAGCTATAGTAGTAAAACATGTCTTTTTTAAGAAAGATGATGTTAGCTTGTAATTGTAGTTTCAACCTAGGAAGTGAAAATGTTTTCCAGTGTTATGTGTTTGTGGCTTCTCCACCTGTCTGGTTTAAAATCTTGTTTTGTTTTTCAACTTGCTGCTGTTGGGAGAACTCCCGTGAAAGGGGGAATTGCAAGCTTCTGTAGTCGGAGGAGTGGCAAACTTCCAAAGTAAAGATTAGAAAACAGTAGACTTGTGCTAGCAAGTAGATCTTTTCGGCAGACATAAGAGAGGGAAAGCAATTGATGTTCCCTTAAGAAAAAACACAGAACTAAAAAGTGTTACCAGTAAATGGAAGAATGGTATTTCGAATAAAGCAAACTGTACCTTTTACCTTTATGGATTAATCCATATTTGAAAGTGTTCCAGAGATTGTGGACCTCTCCTACATAGCAAAGTAGACATTGTCATAGATAAAAGCCTGTAATTTAATTAAAAACTTTAACCTGACCAAGTGTTTCTTCTTACTTGTATATTTAGTCACTATTAAATAAAGTTTGTGTGCTGATTTGATTTTATTTATAACTGTATATTGGAATACCTGTGGACAAATAAAGTGAAAAATTGTGTTTATTTCTTTCAGTGAATAGTCTGCTTGCCTTACAGCTCTCATTGTTGAGTTCAGGTTGGTAGTATTTTGTTCAGAATTTCTTTTAACCAAAATACACCATTGTTGAGTGTTTTATGCTGCAGAGATGGTAGGTGGTCCTTGAATACTTGACATCTGTTGTTGCTGGGTATTTGTGATGTTAAACAACTGAAGATTTTTACTGTGGTACATCTTTGTCCAAAGTTAACCTATGGACAATTCGTTTTTATTTTTGAACAGTGAATTTATTGCAGAAGATGGTAATGAGAAGTTTTGGCAGTTCTTGGAAACTGTACGAGAATTAACAGTTTATAAGCAAGGAGGTAAGTTAAACAGCATGCCAGTTTTAATATCTTATCTTGCACTGTGTTTAACTTTCACACATTAAGCTAACACATTAACTAGTTCCAGTCAGGTAAAGCCTAACCCTTCCACTATTGCTTACTAGGTAGTTTTCTTTCAGAAAGTTGTAGTGTATTTCCCCCTGAGAGCTCTACCTGTAGAGGAGTCCTAAAAGCAAGGAAGGTGAGATGGACTGGACTGCTGTTACAATACGGAACAGAAATATAAAGATTAAAGATAACTACCTTCTTATGTGACTCAGTAAGTGTTTATAGTGTATTCTGACTTCATGTTTTGTGTAAGATGGATGTTTGTAGAGGAGAGAATCATGCAAATAACTAAAATAAGAATGTTAGCTAAAGGAAAAAATGAAAAGAATGACTGAAAAGGGTTTAATACTTGTAGATGGCCTAGAGACTGTTTTCTAGCATCAGTACTGGTGTTTCAGAATAGATATCACTGTCAGAATAGGATTAAAAAACCCCCTTGGATGATTAGACAGAAGAATATTAAGTTTTTAGAAGCTTGGAGAGAAGAACAAAGCATAACATGAAGCAAATGAAGCATAATAGTGAGCGACTCCGGAAGATAACTTGGAGAGCAGTTTACTAGCAATTACTATGATAATGAAAAATTTGGAAACCTACCAGGCTTTACAACAGGATGGTCAATATTGGACCTACCAAGTAGGTCTATAGGTGAACAAGGTGAAAAAAAGCTTAAAACAAGGTAAGGCTGTTTCATTTTGCTCTTTACTTCAGAATAGTCCAGCTCTTCAGGCATGAGTGTGAGGACCTAACACTACCGCTAGAAGAGACTTCAGGTAGATTGAATGTTAACATTAATAGTCAAAAAGTAACAAACTAGAAAGATCATGTAAGAACTGGCAGTGAGATGACAGAAATGAATCCTTGTTATGTGAAAAATGTACATGGGAGGGAGAATTCTAAAAAAATGTCGCTTCAACAATTGTGACTGAATATAAGTCAAAAAATTGTGGAGCCCATGTGGACAGGTTGGTGAGAATGTCATTTGAGTGCTCAGCAATACCTGAAGCAGCTAATAGACTTAAAAAATATTAGGAAAAGAACAGGGACCTGCATAGTAAACTACATTTTGCTGCTTACGATTTTGTGATGTGCTTTTGTGTTAAGAGTGATGTTCTACTTTGCTGTCTCCCTGTATTTTCCTCTTCATTTGAAAGGATACAGTACAAGCAGAAGATCTACAAAAAAGTGATGATAGTTGTGGGATATCGACTGAAGAAGTAAAAAACCCCAGAACTAAAAATTACTGTGGGCTGATGAGAACTGGGAATGGTCTGAGGTCAGAAGTGTATACAAAACCAGAGAGAATCACTGAGAACAGTGGGTGTTGAAAGCTGCTCAGAGCTGTTCTGTGTAAGGGGATATGGACATGGAAGTAGGTGCAGAATTTGACCTGTGGTCAGCTTCTAGTAGCATTTGTTAAGGAAAGTGGCGTTGACTAATGCTGTTTAAGGTGTTCATCAATGCACAGGACACTGGCATGGGTTACACTCTCCATGAGGTTGTGGATGACACAAAACTGGGAGAAGCTGGGAAGCTGGAGGGTTGGGCTGCCTTTAAAGAAGCCTTGGCAGGTGGAGAGGTGGACCAACAGAAACATTGGGAAGTTCAGCAGAGGCGCTTTGCAGACTCCTGTACGTGGGCTCGGCAACAGTGCAACCTGGGCACTGACTGACTAGAAATTAGTTTTTGAGAAACTGCATTAAATTCTTACTGCCTCTGAAGATCAACTGTATGCTGGGTTGAATTAGCAAGAGTGTAGCCATCAGGTCTCAAAAAAAGTGATTATTCCACTGTATGTGGCACTTGTGAGACGACCTCTGGAGCACTAGGTCCATTCTGGGCACCCTATTACAAAAAAAAAAAAGACCTGGGCATACTGGAGCAAGTCTAGGAGAGGATCACCACAGTGACTGGGGAACTGGAGCAGATTTCTGAGGAAAGGCTAAGAGAGCTGGGTTTTATTCAACCTGAAGAAAAGAAGTAGAAGGAGAGACCTTGTATCCTTAACTTCCTAATAGAATGGTATGCAGAAAGTGGAGCCAGATCCTTCATGGAGTAATAAGAAATAAAACAATGGACGCAAGTTGAAACATGGAGATTTTGGTTAGAAACTAGGGAAGTGTTTCTGCCATGGAGTTTGGAACAGGCTACCCTGGGAGGCTATGGAATAGCTGTTCTTGGAGGTACTTAAAACTGTGCTGCGTGAGGCCTTGAGCAGGCTAATCTAGCATTGAAATTAGATCTCCTCTGAGTAAAAGTTTGAACTGAAGTGACCTCCAGAAGTCACTTATGGCTTGAATTTATTTTTTTTTTAATTTTATTTTTTCTGTGAGTGGTTTAGATGCAGCTAGTATTGCCTTGAGACAAGACTAATGTATTAGATGATGTGTCACGGTTTTTTATCAGCCCTCTGCTTGCTTGGACCGACTTTCCAAGGACTCTGAAGTTTTAGTGGCATTTATTATTAGTGACACAGATGTCTGTTGAAATTAGCTGTTAGCTACACACTTTACCTACTTCGGTGGGATAAACTAAGTATGATTGAGAATAAATTTATTTCCAGTAGGATGATCTGCATGGCATAATATTGCCAATAAAGTATTAGATGGTGGTAGTGGGGAACCTTGACAATGTATTAAAATATTACTTTAATTAAGCATGTTAAGCAATTGCTGTGTATGTTTATTTATCTAAATGGCCAACAAACTCCTATGTTTATAATGCAGGAAAATGTCAAGTTTTGGCCCAAGTGGTTTTCTGAAATGTCGGTTCATAGTTATACAAACAAACCAATGCTCTTTATGAAGGAAGGATTCATTTTTAGAGAAAAAGAAAGTGGTTACTTGGTGACAAAATCACATCAATATTGATCCTTCCAACTTGACATCTTACTGATGTCAGTATATGTATATGTCACTTAACATACTAAGTGTGAAATAGAAATATTACGAGCATCATATGTCTCCAGAAATTGTTAAGCCACTTTCAGTAGGGAAATCTGCATTAGATGCTTACAATAAAATGGTCAGGTAGAGTGAAGAATATTGATACTAAATACTGTGGTGGCACAGTTACTGAGAGGTGGTAGTAGCACACCTCTGAGGAGAAGTTGGTTCTCTGGATGGTGTGGAATGGGTTCAGTCTTAGCCATTGCATGATGAGACACATTGACATAGAGAGATGTTTTTACAAGGGCAAGTAGCAACAGAATGAGCGGTAATGGTTTTAAACTGGAAGAAGGTAGATTTAGACTAGATATTAGGAAGAAATTCTTTCCTGTGAGAGTGGTGAGACACTGGCACAGGTTGCCCAGGGAAATTGTAGATTCCCCCTCCCTGGAAGTGTTAAAGGCCAGGTTGAATGGGGCTTTGGACAACCTGGGCTGGTGGGAGGTGTCCCTGCCCATGGCAGGGGGTTGGACTGGAATGAGCTTTAAGGTCCCTTCCAACCCCAACCATTCTGTGATTCTATGTTCATGATGCAGTAAGGCTGAAGTAACAATAATTACTGAAGCAAATTAAAGGATCTAGCTTAAGAAGGATGGGTTGGGGTGATTGACCTTTCCATTCTGCTCTCTACCAAGGGTAGATAGGATGGAAAACTGGGAAATAAAAGCATTGTTGGTTTTAAATAGAAATGTTTCCATAGAAGGTAAAGAATTACTAGATAAGAAGCTGAAAAACTGGGTTTACAGGAAAATTGAATGATAGGTTTGTATCCCAACCTACTGTTGAGTATTTCGGAAGAGTCATAAAGTATTAAAGCTAGAAGGCAACTTAAAAAAATCAAATATGGTAGCTTTTACCTTTTTAATAATTCCTTTTATGATTTCCAATCTGTTCCTCATTAGTTCTCAAAACTTGTTATTTAAATTTAAAATAATCAAATCATCATCTGTTGTTAACTTACTAATTTAAAATATTTAGCCTTAGCAAATTAGGTCTACTAATGGTCTGTCTATATGTAGCAATTTAATGGATTTCATAGGAGCAATGTATGTGGAATTCAGTAAATCATTTAGTCTGGTGATATATTTGGTTATTTTAACATTTTCTTTAGTAATAAATCAACTTGGGCATCAATAAGATGATAAATTACGAAAAGCATCAAAAAGTTAATGATGGAGTATGCTATATTTAATGAAAGGTTGTCAGGTGGTACAGGCAACATTGTGTATGTCTAGTTAATATACAACATACTTGCCACCAGGCTTGTGGAAGATTTGGAACTGCCGATGATGCTATTTTGGGTTGCATATATGTTATAAAGAAATCAAAGCTGCAGAAATTTCGTGTTAAAAACAGTGCAGTTAGAAAACACTGAAGATGGCACTTCAAACTTGCTGCTGCTTTTTTGTCTCAAAAGGTTAATTTAGGAACACAAAGGGAAGGTAAGTAGCCAGTTCCCTGCTGCTTAATTATAACTTGAGTGTTTACTGTCTTCCCAAGTGGTTCAGTTTATATATTGAATTTTCAGTGGCCTCTTAAATCTATATTTAAAAAACTACAAACAACAAACACACAAACATATTACTAGGGAAACTATTTTCTCTGAAAAAATATAACCGTATATTACAAATAAACAACAATCATGCAAATCATTTGTTGTAATCTAGAAGACTACACATTATTCACAACTAAATTAGGTAACTTTTTTTACATACGCATCAGTTTTAAAGATTCAAGAGAAATCAGTTTCACAAGCACAGCACTTCTATAAAAATCATGTGATAAAATTAAGTATTCCCTTTCCACTGGATTCTTACTTGAATGTCATAGCAATTTGACTGGCCAGTAGTTGCTTGAACTGCTGTTACTTGGGATCGCCAGTTCCTTACTGATCTATAGGTACAGACACATCTATGCAGTTGAAACAAACCCTACTCCCACCCCTCAAAAATAATGATCCCATCACACTCTGTGCTCTTCTGTCTAATTATGTCCCTTATCTTTACCCTCCCTGCCTACTGTGTCTCCATACTTAGGATTTTCCTGTGGGCCACCAGCACAATTCCGATTAATTTTGTGCTGTGTACGCATGGGATCTGAGGAGCTGTGACACAGACCTTTCCTTTTGTAACCATCCTGGTCATCTCCCATTAATTATTTTTAATGTACTGGTGGGGTGAGATACTGCTATAGATTGTGGATAGTAAATGTCAATGTTTAAATATGAGTCTACTTAGCTAGGTCTTCAGTTCTTGTAGTTGATCTAATCAGTTTGGCTACAAGAGTTGAAAGTGCAATTCAGCTGACAAATTTAGGAATCTTTAGGGTGAGCTCAATAGCTTTCTAGGTTTTTTTGGCTGCTAGGCTATATCTTTCTTGGCTAGAATGGAAGTTTACTGTTATGTAGCTCATACACAGGCGTTCAGATGTCTGAAATCTGGAGCTGTATCCTGTTAATGTTGTCTCAGTTATTTATTTTAAAATCAACTCTGTTAATGAATTTAGTGGTAATATGCTATTGTGCAGCATTTTATGGCCCGAAACGTCTGTTTTTCCATGGTTCCCTGTAATATCCTAATAAATTTTGTGTGACTTTGGCGTAGAGTACAGTGTTAAAAACTACCTGGAGGTCAAGTGGTTCTCCCGCTTCAAGGAGCAAACCCTATATGAAAATAATTTGCAAAAGTGATAGCATAGTTCTTTATGCAATAAACTTTTGAAAATGTTTTTGCGTTAGGCGGTTCATACAGTGTTTGATGTGGATTAGTTAATCTTGCTGAAATTTAAAGTACAGTTGTAGTCTGAATGAAGCCAGCAGTGTTAATACAAGTTGAAGTAGCAGAAGTGGATGCATGATTTGATGAATGTAAACTTATCAATATGTTATACAATCATTTTTGAAGGCATATGACAAATTATCTTCTTTTTTTTTACTTCTCATTAAAATCATCATTGTCTTAATCATCTTCCAGAGCAAAAGTGTCAGCTGTTTTATATACAGCAGTGAAAGCACAGCTGGAATTTGTAAGGCAAAGAATTTGAAGAGTTGTGGTAAAAATATTTTATTGAGGTGGTATCTTTAGAATTGTATATTTAATAACTTTTCATTTTGTTCAATAGAATGTTATTTGGAGCTGAGTGGAGAGGCAGAAATTTCATTTTGAATTTTTGTTTTTGTGGGGATAATTTGAAGAAAATTTGAAAGTATAGTTATTGGCAAGATTATAGTTATTGGCACTTCCTATTTTTTTACATTCACTGCTTGAAACATGTGCAGCCAAATTTATCTCACTGGAGTTCTGCCAGGGCTATGTGTAGTTTTAGAAAACATAGAAGAAATGGGTTTTTCATCCATTGAATTTATTGTTAGGCAGTAATGATTATATACAATTTATGAGAAGGCAGCTTTCTGGAAATGCAGATTATACCCTTTTGTAATCTTAGATTTTATTTTATGTTTTTCTTGTGAATTCCAGCAAACTCAGCCTTTCTAAATAATGAGTTTTAAGAAGGAGGAAAAGGCAGAAGGGAGATCCTAGAGGCTTTAAGTACAAAAGAAAGTTGGGGGTTGTAAAGAGGAAAGTGAGAGGATTGGAAGTGCTTAGTTGTGAAAATTGTATACAGAACTGCTGGGAGCAGTTAATGGCTATTTCCAAAACTGTGGCCAGCAGGGCTTTTGTATGTGGCCTAATGTTTTGCTGGAACCTAGGCCATGGTGAGAGAATGGTATTTTGATTGCTGCTCTCATCGTTTGACACAAGTACTTCTGAGCTCTACTGCAGCTGTGGCAGGTAAAGCCTGGCAGGTTAAATCAGGTGAGATGATTATCACACTGCATAAAGTTTTGGTTCCTCTTTGGACCCCTAAAGGGGTTTCCCACTGGGACTATCATTCCACTTTCACAGTAAGAGCACCTTTTAAAATAAGGTGTTGACCTAAGAACACAGCTAAATTCAAGCTGGAATGGTTCCTCCCCACAATTCAGTTTCCCTTTGCTGCAAATTTTAACCTTGGTAGGAGAATATTTGAATTACACATGAAAAATATATTGAATCACTGCAGTTTCCAGGTAGTATCTTTCAATCTAAGTAAAATACATGCTGATGACATAGATTTGGAGGGGCCCTAAGTTGCCAGTTCTGGACATTGCTCGTGAGTGTTTCAGCTGTTCCTCCACTGGAAAAGCAACTACTGGAACAGGGATGGTGCACAGTTCTTGGTATCATCACAGCTCTGGTTCTCTGACTCTAATTTTGTGTTCAAGAATATCACATAATGCAATGTATACAGCCTGATTTAAAATTTTGGTGACCATTATTCCTTAAACAGATGAAAGTCTTTTTCAGAACTTGATAAAACAATATTAAGACCCGTTTCGAATTAGGCTGCTTTGCCTCACAGTCCAAGGACAGCATGAGAGCATTCACTTGAATATGCCTCTAGAAGAAAAAATGAAGGTTAAGTATTTCCAACCAATGCTTTTTACTACCACTACTTCCGTCATTCCCAGACACCATCTACCTACCTTTTTACTTGGAGTCCTGATTTTGGCCTTGACAAGGCGTGATACGCAGAGAGGGGGGAAGCCACTTCACATACTGCATCCATTCTCACACTCCTGTTTATCACGTATGTTTAAGGAAGAAATATGATATGTGAGAGTAGTCAAAAAAATCTTACCTTTAGAAGATTATTCTTTTTTAATGTAAGTGTCATGGTTGGAGTGTTCCAAGACTAAATGTGAGGAAACAATTCATAAAATAATTCTGATTGAAAGTAAGTAGCCTTCAAAAATTGTGTTAAAAGGCTAGCATAAGCTTGGCAAATTGAATAGGGTTTAATCATTTACTTCTAGACTTTCCATATGGGTCTTGAGTAGATTTTTATATTGCTGAAAATTATTTAGATGTTAACTAGTGCTATTGCTCTCACTTTTGTTGTATTTATATTGCATTAGGCCTAGACAAAAATTATTGGTAGACAATGTTAAAGACTTTTGAACTGCCAAGCAGCGCTAACATATTTGTCTATTATGTAGCACAGGTAGATATGCCACATCATTTATGGCTAAATACTGAAAGTTTGTCTTTTTTTTTTTTTCTTCAACAGATTTAGAGCATTCCTATTACAATTTAATCTTGAAGAAAGCAGGACAATTTTTAACCAATTTGCAAATCAATTTGTTGAAGTTTGCACTTTCCATACGGGCATATTCTCCAGTTGTTCAGATGTTTCAGCAGGTGACTATATTTTCTGGTATATCTGGTACATGATTTTATGTGATATTTTGACTGCAGAATAAAGAGTGTTCACTATTATAGTTCAGTAAAATATATGGTGACATTATTTGGAATCAAATGTGATCCCTTTAGATCCCAAATGTTCTCCTTCTTTGGAGACATTCAAAACCAACCTGGACGCGTTCCTGTGTGACCTGGTCTAGGTGATCCTGCTCTGGCAGGGGAGTTGGACTGGATGATCTTCAGAGGTCCCTTCCAACTCCTGAGATTCTGTGATTCTGTGATTCTTTATAACGGTGATGAGCTGGTTATATTGACAGGTACAAATACACATGTCTAATTGTATGGATAGCATTATTTTCAGGATAAAATTTTTGAATTATTAATTTTTAAAACTCAGATTGTGAGGTTTTTTTGCATGGGAATGCAGACATTCCCAAAGTAGGAAATTTCCTGTGGCTTAAAATAATTTATATTTGTTATTTAGTGGACTTCTTATCTTTCTTATTAGTTTAGTATTTGAAAAGTTGAAAGATAGAATAGTCAGATACTTTCTTTGTTAATGAAAAAGTGAGAGGACGTAAATCCACAGTGCCTCTAACCTAAGACTGCTCCTCCTCCTTTGAGTGATGCCACCTTCTACATAAAGTGAGAAATCCATGTTTCTGAAAGGTAATAAGCTGTAATAAAGTTAGAGGGGTTTTCAAGTGTTCTCTGGAGGAGTATCATCATCTCAGACTCGTATCTTTTAATTTTCATCTTTCAGCTTGTGAATCTGGAGTCATTGATATGCAGTCATATGATTTCTACTTTACATGGGAATAACTGAATAGAGCTCAAAAAAAAAAAAGCAGGGAGGTGAGAAGGAAAGAGAACCAAAAATTGACGTTAATTGATTGACATTTATTGGTTAGCAGTCAAATCTTTTTACATTAACATGATTGCTGATAGCAATTAAAAATATCTCAGAGTACAGGCTGTAGTTTCAGCTTGTGGAGGAGATTTCTCAGCCCTGTTTTTTCAGAACATAAAAGCTTGCATTTTCTGCAGTGTGACTGCATTTGATAGACTACATCTCACAAAGGTTATGAGGTCTTAATCTTCTAATATTTTCCATTACTTTTTTCACACCCAATTTTGAATGGGCTTAATTAGAAACACAACTTAATGGCAGCTGTTGAGTTATTTTAATCAAAGGGATGTGAGTTTAAGTTGAAGTGCAATCAAAGCATTCTGGTTGAGTATAATTGTTGAAATATTAGATTGCAGCTGATGAACCTCCACCAGAAGGCTGCAGTGCATTTGTGGTTATCCATGAGAAGCACACCTGTAAGACTAATGAAATAAAAAAGCTGCTGAAGAAGGCTACTAAGAGGTAAATGTAATGATCTGTTTTACTAAAAAGGAAAATGTATTACTGTATATATACTTGTAGTATTTTGAGATTTTATGTTCTACTTGTTTGATAATGCGAAGTCCATAAATCCCTGTTTAAAGACATACCCATTTAAAGTATAAGTTAGTTTAAAAGAGTTACTTTTAGTTCTAAAATATTTTAAACACTTTCTGTTATGAGAATTCATTAGTTGTGAATCGAAGTAGGGTTTTAAAATAAAATCATACAACTTTGCTCCTCTAACCATATGGATAATTTTGTATTTCTTCCTTTTTTTTGGTATGGGATAGTCAAGTTTAAGTTACAGGGTACTTTCCAGGTGAGTTTACCATTTAATGCATCTGAGACAGTGTTTCTGCTGACAGACCTTTCTACGTTGTCAGTGCTGCTGCATTTGAGGTTTTCTGGATTGTAAGGGCTTTGCACAGGAGTGGAAGGGGAATCTATGTCAGCTGGCATAACCTTTCGTCACCTTGTGCTTGACTTGGCACCTATAAAGCTTCTCTGCAGGCTTTGTGCTGTGGAAACTAGCAGCAGTCTAGCATTAATTTGGGCCATAAAGTAAAATATATAGAACCTATCAAAATATCAAATAATAACAAAATAATGAAAGCAGAATGTTTAATATTTATTTAAAAAAAAAAGAATTAAGTTGCATTTTTCAAGACCTGTGTGTGGCTTCTTTTGTTTGTCTGGGTTTTTTTCTGCGATGGTCAAGGTCACCATAATATACATTAGTGCTCATACCTTCAACTACTTCATAGAGCTGAAAGATGAATTAGTAGAGCATATTTATTTGATTTTGCTTTCTATGCAATATAAATTGGAAAAAAAAAATCCTGAAAACCTATAAATTTGTCTCTTTAGGAGTGGTTGCTTCTGAAAACAATTTTGTTCTACATGTGTGGCTTGTGGTATTTTTTTAAGTCCATTGATGCAATTACAACCTACTAAATCATTGTCTTTTACTTATTCAATAGCCAAGGTTTTTGCAAAAACACTTCCCTGTCTAGTTTGCAATGTCCTAGTTTTAACTGTTACATTCTACCTAAAAAATTTCTCTTACTTTCTTTATTTGTGCTATTTTTAGCTTTTAAAATTATGTTGAATTGTTTTTGTCGTAAGTATTAACGCATCATGAGACCTTAACATTTTATCACAATGTCTGAATATATTCTTCTTCTTAAGCCGATAACTGCATTCAAACACATTTTCCTTTCTGGCAACAGTATACCCCAGATTTATGAAATTCTTGAAAATCGCAATACTAAACAATAGAATCCTGAAGAATTCAGAACTGAAAGAGTTAGACATCTAGGAATCATTAACTTTAAGTACTCACAACAAAACTGAAGTTCTTTCTATTAAATTGTTCTTGTGTTTTGGATAGTTTTGTGTGACCCAGTCACTTTGCAACCTTCAGAGCTACAGGGACAAAATCTCAATAAAGTTTCTTATCCTTTTCCCCCACCTCAAAGTACTTAAGTCAGTCAAATATTTAGAGTTCCTGGAGTTAGACTTTGTGAAAAACGTGGTCACCTTCAGGTAAATGTTTCTACTGTTATTTCCAGTTGTACGCTGGGTAGCAGATGCTTTTCACTTGTGCAGGAGATGTTTAGCCTGGGTGATATAGATAGGGCTGTGTTCCTGTTCTGCCTTTTCTATATGAATAAAGGATATATGGGACAGTGATGGTTCCTCTAAACCAGTCATTCTTTTTCTCTGTGGCTTTTATGAAAAGAGATCTTTTTGGCTTATTGATTCCCTTTTTTAATTTCAAACTGTTTTCCTTTGTGTTTCATTTTCTTTTTTCTGTCTTGTGTCTGATATGAGACTTCCACTTAAGCTGGGCCAACATAAGCTAGGCTTTCAGTTTTGTCCTTAAGTTCCCCATATTGGATGAGGACACTAGAAATGTTCTGTTTTTAGGGATGATAGTTTCAAATGTCACTGCAAGAGAAAGAAGAGGCTGCATGGTGCAATGGGCTGCTCAAAGGCTCTGGATGTTTGAACACAAGATCTTCAGCTGGGATTGCTTATCTTGCTAACTGTCCAAAACACTACACTAAGATTTCTGGGGCTGTTACAGCCAAGAGCAGAAGCATTGATGTGAGTCACATTTTGCTCTAAACAATCAGTGCCTTAGGAAGTTTGTCAGTACGTATGTCTGCTGTCTTCTATCATGTTCCTTCTGCATTGCATCTGGACTACTATCTAGGCAAGCAGATAGTTACCTGTACTACCCTGGTAACTGCTTAGTGAGTGCTGAACTCTACTTCCATGTATTTTTTTTTTAATCTTTTTCTGTCTGCCCAACTGCTATTCCTTCCCTTTCAGGCAGCCTTCTCATGAGAATCTCTTATGGCAGGAAATAAATTAGCTTTCAGCTCTAAGAGCAAGAGAATCAATTACTTTTCCCTACTATTCAGCACTGAAGAGAAACAGAACGGAGGCTTATCTTGGATTTACAAGGGCTGAATGCTTTAATTCTCCAATCCAAGGTCATTATGGTAACCCTATGCAGTGTTATTTCACTGCAGCACTTATTCTTTTAGTGAAGCTTGGTCATTACAGTATAAAATCCTTCCTTTGAGACTGTCAGTGTTCAAGGAAGTCATGGCAGGACTTGGTACCCACCGTTTGGTGACAGGAGTCATTCTTCTGCTATACTTAGGTGACTAGTTAAGAAAACAGAAGCTCCCTTGATTTGGGTTTTCAACTCTATAAATTACTGTGGCAGTTCTTGTCTCTCTGGATATCAGAAGAAAGTTGCCCGAGTCACAACCCATATGAATCTTTTCATTGGAGCAGATCTGGATCTGTTTTTGAACAGAGCTTACACATTCAAGAGCTGTTTTAGACTCTTTGGTGACACCTACGTTCTCAGCCTTGTCCTTTTACAGTGGGGAAGCTTGCCTGATATTTCTGTGAGATGTGGCTGCATGCACCCAAGTTAATTCTCAAACCAGGCCACTCCTGTTGTCTCTGCCTTACAAATGCGGTTTTTGATTGTATACCTACCAAGCTTACATAGGATGTTGATGTTAAGGCCGAGTAACTTCATACGAAGTGGCCCTGCTTTGAGGAAGGAATTGGAGCAAATGACCTTCAAGGGTCCTTTGCAATATAAACTATCATGTGATTTCTGTGTTGAAGATATTCCTAAGTTTTGCATCACAGAAACTGTGGCAGGCGAAGTTCTGCTCACACCTTCCCAATATGACTTTTCAATGAGCATCTGGTACATGCATTTCTGCAGTGCGTGTTGCATTAGAGGTTCTTAACTTGTCATGGAGAGCTTTAGAGGGAGTTTACGGGTCTCTCAAGTGTGACTATGCAAAGGCAACTTTGAAAAACAAGTGTACTCATCAATAATTAGCGCATCAAGTATAGTACTCAACCATATCCCCTGTTACTTTTCCATCTTTCTCAGGATTTATTTAAGATGTTTGTAGTCAGCTAAGAAATAATTGCAGGTATAGAAAGCCTAACTCTTCTACAGTCATGGCCTTCAATGAGGAGGGTATGTAGGCAATCGAAATTCAGAAAATTAGCTAAATTAACAGAGCTTGACGGTATAAGAGAAGCATAACCCCACTTAGTTTACATGTGTGTTAGTAGCTTTCTCAAACTTTGCTGAATATCCGTCTGTTAATCACTGATTGATCTGTACATCTCTCGTAGATGTAATAAATCATTTAAATTAAAAGATTCAAGCTGTAACTGGTTGTTGCACAAAATCTCAAAGTGCTGTGCTTTTTGTTTGCTCTTTGTGTTGTGATTTGATAAAATATATTAAAATTATTTATAGTTAATGCTGATTTTTCGTTTCTTAGACTTTAATTTGAAAATTTATGTTCTAAGTTCTTTTGTGAGCAGTCATGATTGTTTTATGATGATTTTAACATGGCTTGTATATTTCTAGCATATAAGACTTTAATAGTATTTCAGTTAGGAAGTAGTAAATCTGCAACTGTATTGATTTATTTTGTGAATATAATATCACAATTGTTTTTGAAACCAGACCTAGGCCATATCTTTTTAAGGGAGATCATAAATTCCCAGCTCTGAAAGAGGATGGCCCCGTGGTTATTCTTTATGCAGAAATGGGTACAAAAGACTTTGCTCAATTCCACAAGATTTTATCTGAGAAGGCGCAGAAGGAGGAAATTGTTTATGTTCTTCGGCATTATGTTCAGGTATGCAATTCAAATTAACATGGATTCAGTAAACTGTTGGTTTTCTGTCTTTATTTTTCTTGCTTTTTGACAAAACACATTTCTACATTTATTTTTGCATTTGCCTAAATCATGTGCGATATATATTCAAATTTTAAAACCTGTTAGATGAAATTATTCACCTAATACAACTTTGAAGCTGGGAAAGCGTGATAATATTGTCTAATCCTGCATGTAAGCACTGTTTGCATCACTGATTGATCTTGAAATACCTCTTTTTTTTGTTCAATGTCTGGTTTTTATATGTTGTACGAAGATCTTGGGTCAATCTTGGTGCAGCAAACTGTGCGTATTAGTAGCAAGAATTAGAAAAATGGGAGTTAGAATAGAAAATCAAAGTGAAAAATAAGTACATTTATACCATTTGATCTATTCTCAGTATAATCCCATATATTCATTGCAGTACAGCAGCGTGGGCTGTCAGAGTCAACATCACTGGTCAGTTTTTCAGCGTTTGCATTCCCCAGTGTCAGTATTTCAACCATAATGTTTCTGAATGCTTTTCTGAACTTACTCTTCTTCTTGAACAAACACCACATGACAAATACTAGGACATGAAACTATATTGTCTGTAATTTTGGTTATTGGAAGCCTTTTGTAATTTATATTCAATATACAGCTCTTATAGTGCAGCTAATACAAGAGTAATCTGATGGAGTGACCAGGCATTTCAGGAAGATGAGATCCATAGTTTGCAGATGACTTTGAGCTGTTTGTTCATAGTAATGAAATAGAGAATTTGAGGAAGCCAATCTTCAGTCCTGAGTTGCGTAGGAGTATAATTTTTACAGAACTTTCTGTTCTTTTATGTACTTTTCTTTTCCAGTTAAATACCTACAGTCTCCTTGCTCTGCCATGCACCATGGTCCCTTCAAATGCCTATTGTTTCCCTCCCTATACTTCCTCTCTCTTCAGGCTGCTCCTTCCTCACCACATCCATTTTTATTTTTTCCTTCCTGCTG